ACACACACACACACACACACACACACACACACACACACACACACACATTAATATGTGAAGATTAATGAATATGTGAGTGCGTCTGTGCGTGCGTGTGTAGGTTCCAGCAAAGCACTTCCACAGTATGTGCTCCAACCTCCGCCAAGCACTCACTGGGGAACAGGAAGCTCGCGCCCTGCTTCAGGAGCAATCGGTACAGCGAGACGCCCTGCAGCTGCGAGTCAACACACACGCCACAGAGCGGGAACAAGCCCACCGTGCGCTCCGACGCATGGCGGAGGTACATTTGTACACATATATGATACTGAGTGGCACAGTGTGCATCTTTGGTCAATACCTGATAATCCCTTAATTGACATGTCTCCACATGCTGACGATAGAATAGTGAAGTGGTATCGGTGTATACAAGTAGTATCGGTGCAGTTTTATGAGTACTGTCCGGATGTACAGTATCAGTTATCAGTGCATCCCTAATTTACACTTCCTCTTTGTCCTGGACAGGCGCTGGCGGAGGCTCGACGGGGCCTGAGAGGGAAGGAGCGCTCGCTGAGGAATCTGGGCAAGCACTTGTCACGTGTGGACAAAGAAAGGCGGTGTCTGGAAGGGCGACTGCGACATTTTCAGGACGCCACCAGGTAACATACCTCCTGAAGTGCTTTTCCTTCACAACATGCCGTCATTTTCTTCCTGTCTGGCTTGGCTGACGGTGTCAGGATCACGATCGGCTCCGGGAAGGCAGCAACGCAGCGGCATAAGGCGGTGTCCAACTTTTCTACTTCTGGTGCATTTAAAGAGCTGCCAAACCCAGGAAGTGAAAGTCGTGAAGGGCATCATCCAGGTCAGAGGTCCCCAATCAATGGGTGATTTAGCCCGAGACTCAGAGAGACTAAACGAAAATGTTTGGACAGTTCCTTCTGAAAACGAATGTTTCAGGAGGCATTATGGATGAAAATGAAAGCAGAATATCCTTTTTATATAAGATACTTTTTGGGTGTGCGAGAAGTTTTCATCTTTCATCACTTAAAGTGTTTGTCACACTTTAAGTGAAGCATCAGCACATCTCTACTAAGGAATCCACACCCTGAGGCAACACATGCAGACAAAATTGTGCCGACTTTGCTCAAAGGGAAGCTTCTTTTTTTTGTCAGTCACCATCCTAACTTGTGAGGTGAAATGAACTTCCAAGGACAACACATTGCTGGTTTCCATGGTGACGGAGAGCTTTTTTTTTGTGTTTTTTTTTTTTTAAACATCCCATCTTGACATTTGCCTCAAAGGAATATCAAGTACACCAACGCATCATGTGTTTTTGTGTGTAGGACTAAGTTAAAAAAGTGTCAGCGCAGAAAGAAAAGTGGCACAAGGGCTGACGCCGGCATTTTCATTCAGGTGCTGTCTTGGTCTGAGTTTGTCCCACCGGATTTAAATTGAGTTCCTCCCATAAAGGGACATGCCTCCTTCCTCGGGGGAGCGAAGCACAAGGATCAAAGTCTTAAATCCGCCTTGAGAAAGAAATAAAACGGAAATGTTGAAGTATCAACTTAGTGGATCGTTGCCTCTAAACATGGCCACTCAGCACAGTAATCCTCTCGAGTCCCGAAAGTCACTTTGACAGCAAGACGGCGCTAATCGGCTTCCTTGACGCTTCCGTCCTCAGGCGACAAACAAGTTGTCACAGCAACAAGAATAAACTTGTCCTACTGGGAGCTGACACCCAGAACCTCTCATGGCTGTCACCATGTCATGTCCACGATCCTGACCGCCAATTTGTCATGTCCGCTGTCATCTTCTGTCATCTACTTGAACGTCATGAATGCTTAGATGCAGGCGTTCCTGGGGATGTGCAATTTTTGCCAATCAGCATCAGCGTTCTCCAATCAGAGGCCGGTAGGTGGAGTCAAATAGTGAACAATAAGAGGAAAACGGGCGAGCAGCAGGTAGACGAACGAGAACACGCCAAGGACTTGGAGGGACGTGCTGCCGTTCTTGTCTTTGTGAGACCACTTCAGAAGAAGTCAACTTTGTCCACCATTCAGCAGACGCGGCATGAGGTATGATGGAAACCTTGGTGACGATCAGGTGCATGGCAGCGAGCTGCAGGTTCAGTGTTCAGCTAAGGGATGTCACATTTACTTACCGTCAACTGCAGGTGTGTCACATTCTACCCTCGCAGGGTCGAAAGTTGTCCCAGTTGGTAAGCGTGCCTCGCCCTGGCAACATGCTCGTTGGCGGTGTTCCTGACAACCTTCATTTGGGAGGGCGCCGGAGCCCTGAGGAGGAGCTGCTACTCCTCCAATGCTTCCTGTACTTTGGCTCGACACAGCCTAGTGCCTATGACATGGCGGCTGTCAGTCACACAAATCCCGCTCCCGCCAAGGTGACGACAAGCTTGTGATCTCATGACCTGGTGACAATATGACATCGGGCTACTTTTGTCCTCCCAGGATCAGGTGCGTGGAGCAATGTGGAACCCTTGCCTCCATTTGATCCCTTTCTCCTTCCATCCCACACTTTCCTCTACCCTCGATTCGACTCCTTCCCACTTCCATCCTGCTACCTCCACTCTCTGCTCCTTCCGATGGCCTCACAAGGGGCGGGTCTCGTGCGGCCTGTGTGGGAAAAGTTTTTATGACAAAGGTAGGCGTTACCTGGGGTGGTCATGAGATGGTCATGTGATGTCACATGGTGTTTACTTTTTGCACAAAGGAACTTTGAAGATCCACCACAGTGGTGTGCACCTCAAAATTAAACATGGCTGCACGGTGGCGGGCTGCGCCATGCTGTTCAGCTCACTGCGCAGTCGGAACCGACATAGTGCCAACCCCAACCCACGTCTGCACTGCTCCACTTTCACAGCAAAAGATACCTCCAAGTGCGACTGGATCCCCCCTCGAAGTGTGGGCGGCATCGCCCCTGGCATGATGACAACGTGCCAGTCAGCATCGCCACGTGACAGGGTGGGCATACCAGAGCAACTTGACGCTGTTAACAGCCTGCCGGCCAATCAGCGGCAGTTTTGGGAGTCACATGGAAGCTTGCCGAAAAAGAAAAAGCCTAGGAAGTCGAGCATGCCACTAAAAGTCACCAGTCAATTGGAATGAATAAAACAAAACAAAACAAAACAAAAAAAAAAACAATCCAAATATCACCCGAATGACTTACTTTGGCGTCCTCTCGTGGACAAATGAATATTATAAGTGCATGCCTTGTCTTTTCCTTTCTTTACTCTCTAATTAAGTACAAAAAAACAATAAAAATAAGGTGAATAAAAATCTAAAGCAACTTTTGGTTCTTTTTTTTTAGTGCCTGACTGCATGTTCCTACACAGACGTACTACAGTGCATGAATCCAGAAGTGGAAGTACTCATCGTCAATGGACAGAAAGTTGAACACAAGTTGTTGTTTTACATTATGGAAGAGATTAATAGAGATTTGTTTGTAGTATCATTGTACTCATAAATAGTTAACATTTTTAGCTTTTCAGACGTGTAACCACTTTTTCTTTCCACCACAAGGAGGTGCCATCGCGCTACGTTTAAAAAACGGCGAAGAAGACAAAGGACCAGAAGTGCCACCAGTCTCGCGCTAGAACACCTTGAACTCAACGATTTTTTTTTATTTTTTTTTTTTTGTTATATGTCGTTCGCGTGAAGGATGTTAGCCTGCTTGCTGTGTCGTGGAAGGACACTAAAGTTTGTCACGCCCTTCCGTGTCAGCTTGTTTTCGACCACCAGACACTTTTCGGACACCTGTGGTGACACGGGACCGGTCCGTATTGGTTGCGCGTCGGGGTTCTGGGGGGATACGGCCACCTCAGGTACAGCCCACCCACCATACTAATGCGCACTTGGCATTCATTTTTAATGTGTGTGTGTGTGTGTGTGTGTGTGTGTGTGTCTACGCGCGCGCGTGCCCGGTGCCCACGCGCGTCTACACAGTACCTCAACTGATCCATGGCGGGAAACTGGACTTCTTGGTTTTTGATTACCTGAGTGAGATTACCATGTCCCTCCTAACAGCAGCCAAGGCCAAGGTGCCTGTAAGTGTGTCAGGGAGTGAGACAGTATGTACTGTATATGAGGGAGACATTGAAATGATGGCATTTTCTTCTAGAATCTGGGTTACGCTCCAGACTTTGTCCAGGCGGCCTTGGCGCCGTCCATCCACGATATCCACAAAAAAGGTGAGTCTCCTGTTTCCAAAGCAGGTTGGAGGCATTTCCATCGTAACTGACCTTGTCCTTGTAGGCGTGCGTGTGGTCAGTAACGCGGGCGGCGTGAACCCGTTAGCCTGCGCCGCGGCCATCCAGGAAGTGGTCAAGAAAGCCGGCCTGGACCTTAAGGTTGCTGTGGTGACGGGTGATGACCTCATGGCGCATGTGGGTAACCACGCTACTCACTCCAGCAGTGACTTTGAGTGACAAGCACTTGCTGTTCTGTTGTTGACAAACTGATTTGACTCTGACGCACAACTTGACTCAGTGTCTTACTCTCTCGTTGACTCTTGACTCATTGAATTGCTGACTCACGGCACTTTGACTCATTAACTTTTTAACCTGAGTCTCTGATTGAATTTGTTTTGACTCACTTACTCATTGACTTTTTGACCCAATGGGACTTTGTCTCATTTTGTCTTACTGACTCAGTGACTTTTGACTCACTAGTTTGTTGAATTTTTGACTCAATGATTCATTGACATGTTAACACATGGAATTGTTGACTCACCAGGACTGTTGCATTTACTTATATTGACTCAATGACATGTTGACTCGTTTACTTTTTTACTCAATGACACTTTCACTCAGTGACTTTTGACTCACTAGATTGTTGACTTTTTGAGTCGCTGTGACTTTGGCTCATTTCCTTTTTGAATTCCTGACATATTGATTCACTAAATTGTTCACTCGCTGCCAATTTGACTTGTTGACTCGTGCAATCATTGACTTTTTTTTTAACCTCGTCTCTGCAGAAAAGCCGCCTTTCTGAGGTCAAGATGGCTGACGATGGCAGCAGCCGTGCCTTGCCGAAAACGCTGCACAGCATGAATGCCTACGTCGGGTACGTGAGCACTCACGTGCATATCTTGTTCACGTGCAAGCTAATGTGTGGGTTTTTGCGCAGGGCACTGCCCATCCGCCGTTGTCTGGACCTTGGCGCCGACATTGTTGTAACAGGCCGTTGTGTGGACAGCGCTCTCGCTCTTGGGCCGCTCATGCACGCCGTACGTCCTGAACTAGGGGAGGGGTGGGGTAATTATATGGTTGCCATGACAACACACCACCACTCGCTCACTGTGTTGATACTCTCCTGTCTCGCAGTTTGGATGGGGAAAAGGCGACTTGGATCTGTTGGCTGCTGGAAGGTGAGAAAGCTGACTCGCTGCCTTCTTTACTCGCTGACTCATTGCCACTCATACATGCTGCCTAGCTGACGTGTTGACCGCTTATTGTGACATGTTTCAGTCTGGCAGGCCACCTGATTGAGTGTGGCGCCCAGAGCACCGGCGGGATCTTCACGGACTGGCATCGCGTCCCCGACTGGTGAGACGCTCACCGCCCGCCGAGAATCCCGCTTAGCCCTGGTGAACTCTGATGACCCATGGCAGGGACAACATTGGCTTCCCAGTGGTGGAATGTTCCGCCGACGGCTCCTTCGTTCTCTCCAAGCCGCCAAAGACAGGCGGCCTGGTGGAGTTTGGCACGGTGGCCGAGCAGCTGGTGTATGAGATTGGCGACCCGCGGCGATACGTGCTGCCCGACGTCATCTGTGACTTCAGCCATGTCGTAATACAAGAAGTGCCTGGTACGTATTGCATATGCTATTTTGATGTTGTAACATCAACATGTTAATGGAGACGGTGGTGCGTTTTGTGTGCGCACAGGTATTGAGGGCGGCGCCGTCAAGGTGAGCGGCGCCAAAGGCTTTGCTCCGCCACGCGACTACAAGGTGAGCCGTAACGAGACGGGTGCTGGGGGCGTGGCTACATCACAGCCCTTATGCTGTCCTGCTCCATGCGCAGGTGTGTGCCACTTACATGGATGGCTTTCGTGCGACGGCCGTGTGTCCGCTAGGTGGATCAAGAGCAGCAGAAAAAGCCCGCAGGACCGCAGAGAGCATCATCAAAAGGTCTGTTTGTCAATGCCGAAACGTCCGCGAGGCTTGATTGAGATGAGGTAAAGATCACCTTCGCGCTGGATTCAGAAGCTTCCCAAATATTCACTCATTACTTTTATTTGTTGCAGTTCATTATTTCTAAATGTAGCTTTCATATGTGCTTTTTCACAAGTCTAAACAATGTATTGAAGTCCTACGTTGTGTTCTCAGTGCTCTCTAATTTGGCTTTTTCTAAGTTACGTATCGCTTTTTGCACTCTCAGTTGTCTCCTTTAGTCTGGCGAGTGATTATTTTGGTCGGAGTTATGTTGATTAACATTCATCATAAGTGCTCCAAATATTTGAAGAAATTTTCGATTGTATCATCTTTAGCCTTTTTGTTTTGGACTTTCAAAAGATTTGTATTGCTGATTCTCTGATATTGAACCACTATGAAATGGTGTTTCAGAACAATTATTTATTTTTTAATGATATAAATTAATTATGTATTGTATTGTATTTACAGAAATGTCAACAAAAATTGCTATTTTTTTTACACTGTTACAAAGATATCTTGATTGTTGAATTGGTAAGTGTCAACTGTTTCAAACTTCTACGTAAAAAAATTCAATAAAAGTGATTTTTTTTTTCCACGGCGGTATCAAAAAAGGGTTTTCAATTTTATTTTATTATTTATTTATATGCGGGTATCAAATCTGGAGAAAAAAACAGTAAAGTGACAACACGTGTTTTGTTTTGGGGTTTTTTTTTTTTTGTGCAGGACAAAGCGCATATTTAAGCATTTGCATCTGGAGGACTTCTCAGCCGTCAACATCCAGGTTCTGGGAGCGGAGGACACATACGGCGCCAATGGCTCCAACAAAGTGAGGCCTGCACCGTTGACCTTTTGACCTCATGGTGCAAACGAGTCTAACGTGCTACCTGTGCAGGATGCCAGGGAGGCAGTCCTGTGGTTGGCTGTCCACCACAAAGACAAGAAGGCACTGGAGGTCTTCTCCAGAGAGATCGCCCCCGCCGGGACAGGCATGGGTACGACTGTCACGCTGACACACTCATCGGGTTTCAAGTTTCAAGCAAGGGCCAGCAAGTTCTTGTTGCAAAAATTTGAGACCCCATTTAATATCTGTTCTAGTTTCCGAGCACATTCAAATACTTTCAAAGGTAGCATGCCAGTCTGTGTGTTGTCTGTTACTTTTAATGCCGCACCTCTGACCTTGTACCATGTGACATTTGCTTCCTTGCTCGCAGCTCCAGGACTGTGCGGCATCGTGGGCGGGCGTCCCCGAGTGTGAGTGTTACCCACCCGCATGACCACTTCTCCTGTGTAGTTTTTGTCAGTCACTGACTTCGATGTCATGGTTTTTCAAGGTCGCCAGTCCTGAAGCCGCTCTTCTTCTACCACCCCAAGTCTCAACTCCAGCTCGACATCCATGTGGACGGACAGTGGGTGGAGTCTCTCTCGGAGACGGTGGGTGACATTGCCGAACAGGAAGCCCCTCTCGCGTGGGCGGAGGAAGCGCCCAACGCAGGTGAGCTGGCTTGCGGTTGCCATGGTGACCAGCAGAGGGCATATATCTAGTATACAGTGGTTTTAAACACTGGAAAAAAACATCTCGTACCACCTCATAAATACTTAGGGTAGCGCTCCAAGTACGTAATGAGCAACACTAAAATATCGAAACAAAGTGTAACATTGTGCGTCGTTGGAAAATTAACACCGAGTTTAAATGCAGGAACGACGGTTTAATTAAATTAAATGTATTGCTTGTTCTTTGTCAATATCATACATGAAATTTTAAGGGTTAATATTGTTGTACATCTGGAGCAACAGAATAAGGAAGGTCAGTTATTTGAGTTGTTGTTTCCTTTACCCTATTACACAATCCTTGATCACTTTTTTCTTTTTCTTTTTTGGCTTTCACTCGACAAATATTTCATACACAAAGCATTTAAAAAAACTAACAAACATACTTGCTTCATAAACTAATTAAAACCAACTGCATAAAAAAAAAAAACATCTTCAAAATGAAATGGAAACTAAGTAGTAAATTGTTTCGCAAACTACCATTTTGAGAAAAATCTTCTGATCACCACATACCACCCCAGTTGGACTAAATATTGTTCTGTCACATTATGCACGGTTTGAACATTAACACTACACTTACATCTGACAAAATAAACTTGAAATAATGATTCAATCAAAACATATTGCGGATCACATTAGATATATCTAAAAAAAATTAAAACATTTATTTAGAATGGTTTTTAAAGATTAGATGTAAATGTATTTAAAAGTCAACTACAACTGAACTGGGCTCAACAAATCTACTGTTCAGGATTAAAAAGGAAAGTTTAAGCCACTGCAACAATGCACAGTTGGAGCATTTAATTCAGCGAACCTTTGTGTTCCACTAGAGGGAGCAGCGTGTAAGCTTCCCTGCTGAGATATTGTGGTGTTGATGTTGTAGAGCTTCCCAGTGGGCCGCACTGCTACAGGTTAGAAGAACTGGCCTACGCCAGAAGCGGCGACAAAGGAGACTCTGCCAACATCGGTGAGCCACGCTCACCATTCACACCGTGGTGCGTCTTCACGCTAAGCTAACCATTAGCCTCTCGCGCAGGCGTGATCGCCCGCGACGCCCGCCTCTTCCCCTTCCTGAAGAAACACCTGACTTCGTCTGTGGTGGAGGGATACCTGGCCCACCTCTTCCCGCCCGGCCTGCACGGCGCCGTGACGCGGTGAGTGGGTAGCGAGCGGGCCGCGAGGAGGAACCGCAATAACGTTTGCAAACCACTATGACTCGTCATGACTAAGCAGATGACTGCTTCAGGCTGTGGATGTTCTGTTTCTAATTGGTACCAAATGTCTCTCGCCGCCACCACCACACGGAATCTTGGCGCTGAAAGGATCCACTGTTTATCTTCACAGCAGAACCAAAACGGGAGAACCTACATCCAAAACTCTATACTTGGGCAGAAGTAGAGATACTGGTGAAGGAAAAAAAAAAGACTGGTAAAACATTCGTAGTGGTTCAACTCATTTACTTAACAAACAAGGTACTTTCACATTCCTCCAAGTCACTTCTATCCCTGTTTTTTTTTTCACTTTGCTATTACCTCTCTCTCCATTTACGCCGGTTTATACATCGTGTCATCATCTGCAAATGTTAAAAAAGTAACAAGCCTATTTTCACAAAGAAGCAGGCAATGCCTGTTTTCAAATGTCCTGTAGGCAGTAACCAGTTTTTGTCACGCTATCAATTGAAATGGCCATTGTGCTGCTCATGAACCAATTTCAATTTCAGTTCATTCACATGTCAAATATGACAGTTGACCGGCATGAGAGCAGAAGCTATTTAAAGCTTATTGAGTGGAAGCTTAAGAAATTTCAATACATATCAAGACAACAGTGGGGAAAAAAAATCTGTGGGCCCACTTGAGTAGTTTTAAGCCTTTGCTTCTTCCCAGTGACGACATCTTTATTCCTACTGTTATGTCCTTGGAGAGGAGCTAGTTGGAATAAGCTCGCTGGAATAGGGTCAGGGTGCAAATTAGCAATGACTTGATACATTAAACATGCGTTGTGGTAGATACTGAACTCGGGGAGTCTTCATATTCCATGCTGAGGAAAAAGTGGGCAAGAGGGGGCATTGTATTCAGACCAAGAAAAAATACGTACCACTTTCTTTTGCAGAGCTTGGCGGTTTTATTTTTTTTTGGGTGAAGCTATAAAACGTCTTTTACCTAGTTACATTGCATTAATGCAAATGAGGGCTCAAAGAGAGTTTGGTAGAATGTAAGAAAATGTTGGACGGGGAAAAAATTATCAGTTGAATCTGATTCCTGGCTTTTGAAGGTTGAACTTTTAAGGGTGAACTTAATTTGACCTCTACATTTTTAAATGTACATGTCAAACCGTGTAATGCTCTTGTCCCAATTCCAATGAGGTTGGGACATGATGTAAAATGTGAATAAGGCCCACATGCTGTATTTTGAGTTTTTTTTTTTTTTTTTTTAAACAAGCGAATCAAATTTATTCCCAGAATTTTGCTCATTTGCAATTTTGCAGGCCCATCAATTTCACTGGGAACATTATGTTTGGAGTTTGGCCTTGTCAGTTTCACATAGTTCTTTGTTTCGAACTCGGTTAGTTCAAATGGACTCTCTTAGGCCAAAAAGAGGCACGTGTCAGCTACAAACAAGACTTTGTGGAGCACTTTTGAAGAATTAACAAACTCATTGACATACAGAATAAGGAGAAGTGGTCCCAATATGGATCCCTGTGGGACCACATTTAATAATTCTATTTAATGAGCTCTCATCTTGGTCGCATACATACGATTCCCTCCATGTAGGCAGCTGCTGAACCAGTTCTTTCTGGTGTGCCCGCCTTGATCATCTGGTGGAAGTATACTACAGACAGACATAATCTTAACTCTCAGCTCATCAGTGTGGAACTAATATTCGCTGTTCTTTGCATGTAATAATGAATATATGACTGTAAGTACTGTACTGTATCTGTGTGTGTTCCATCTGTTGCTGAAAAGGTTATGGTGCCGCAACGTAGGTGCTAATTGACTTTAACTTTAGGCCAGAAGACTGAAAAATTCAGCAATGAGGGTCTTTTTTTAATATGCAAGTCATAATTACTAGAGTTTGACTGGGGGTGAAGTCCCGTTTTTCCCTATTGGCCAGGCCCATGTTGTGCTTGTTGTAAAGTGAATTGAGTTCTCTGCCGACATACAGCGTAAGTACAGTTGCAAAGAATCTGTTTGTCAGTACATGGCTGCCAGTGAGGACCAGTGTGCTAAGCATGTGTTAGCAATTAGCCCAACGAAAGGCCATAAAAGAGGCAATGAAATGCAACATGGCCGCCACAGGCACTTCATTAGCATGTGTTGAAGTCTCGTTAAAGTGCCGGCACCACACACAAATTTGCGTTGCCTTTGTTACAAGTGTTTTTTGTGTATGCGCAGATACACTCTGCCAGGGATCAATGGCCTCAATTTTGTCCTCAAGAATTCACTTGGTGGGGGAGGGGTGGCATCCCTGCGCAGTGACCCCCAGGTAAGACACACACGCCCACGCCCACATGGGGTGGCTGTCAATCAACGTGTGTGTGTGTGTGTGTGTGTGTGTGTGTGTGTGTGTGTGTGTGTGTGTGTGTGTGTGTGTGTGTGTGTGTATACCTCCTGCAGGGAAAAGCCTTGGCTCAGATGTTGCTGGACTTGAAACTCCATGGACTTCCTGACCTCACGCCCTTGCTCAGTTAACACACACAACCAACACAAACACAGATACACATGTGCATGTGCAGTGTTAGCGGCGAAGGACTTAACTGTCAGCTTCGATCACATGACCTTAACGGACTTCATTGGAGTGGCGACCTTTCACCTCACTCTGTGGAATGTCACTTCCTCCTTAATTGCAAACAGGCCCTCTGTCGTCATGGCGATCACTGCCAGCTCGGCCCCCTTGCATTTGGGGAAAGCTGTTGAATTCCCCGTAACGATTGTAGTGAAGCTGAGTGTTCATTAAAAGTGGCAGGACGTAAAAGGTGTCGAAGTCCCGCCTTTGCGTCTGGGAGACTGCCTTTTACGACCTTTAACCTCTCTGAAGTTGTGTGTGTCGGCTTCATGCGAAGTCTGGTGACAAGTTGGCCCGCTGCTGCTAACGTCGTCTGTTAGCATAGCGTGATGGCCACCGCACATCTGGCCGGCGTTACTGTTACACACACACACACACACACACACACACACACACACACACGCAGGGGCATCATTAAGCCCCCACTCCCTGTGTGTTGACGGAAGAACAATCCACATGGTGAGTGACAAGCAGCGTGTGTGTGTGTGTGTGTGTGGGTGTGTGAGAGACAGTGAGCAGAGAGAGAGAGAGAGAGAAAAGTTTTTGCCTGTGTGGTGTGAGACAGAGCAAAAGCGAAAAGCCATTTGGTGGTTTAGAACCAGTGACGCCAGCTTCACTGTTAAACACTCAATTTATTTCCCTTCATGCTTTGTGTGTGTGTGTGCCTGTGTGTGTCCGTGGAAAGTTGCAGGAGAAAGAAAACAAAGTACTCTTTCTTTATATGTGCCTTATGACCCCTCCCCCTTACTTCCTCTTACATTCGCGTCCTGTGCTTCTATTGGCTGGCCGAATCATGTGTATGCATGTAGATGTGTTTGTGTTAAACCATCCAGGTGGTCTGTAGTGGCGATGCTTCACATTAAGTTCCACTCACAATAAGTACCTAAATTAATAACTAGCATCTCTACCGCCCCCTATCCGAGGCGGCCTGATGTAGCAGCCTCACTTCCCAATTTTTTTTTTTTTGTCAACACATTTACACCCCAAAAAGTGGGTCGCTTGTCACGCCCATCTGGTCCCGCCCCTGGTGCCAATGTGCCCGGGCCCATTCGGAGCATCAGGCGCGTGTAGTCATGGTGGTCGCGCTCACCTCCCTGCTGGACAAAGTGCTCTGCTTCTCGTTCACGTCATGCTGAACGCGCTCGCATTTCTGCTGGACAAAGTGGTGTTCTTCTTCGTGACGTGCGCGCACCCGCCACCGCCGCCCCTCGAGCGCGAGCGTGTCTACCGGCGCGGCGACTTGTTGGAGGTGCCGCGCACGCTCTTCACCCACTTCGGCATCTACCTGGGCGACGGCCGCGTGGCGCACCTCATCCCGGACATCCTACCCGCAGTCACGTCGGACGAGCGCCACCTCCGCCGCAAAGTGACCAACACGCGCCTGCTGCTCGGCGTGCTCTCCAAGCGCGCGAGCGTACGCGTTGACTCAGTGGAGGACTTCGCGTATGGCGCGAGCGTGCGGCTCAACACGCACGCCATGGAGAGCGCCGGACGCGGTCCCCCCGACGCCGAAGAGGCGGCGCGGCGAGCTGAGCGCCTGCTCGGCAGCGTCCCCTACAGTCTGCTGTGGAACAACTGCGAGCATTTCGTGACGTGGTGCCGCTACGGAGCCGCGCGCAGCCTGCAGACCGAACAGGTCAGAATGGGGCGGCACGGGTGGGGGCTACAGGCATATTGTGGATAGTTTTGGCGTGACTGCTTTTATATTTGTCTACTGACACGTCAGCGAATAGGCAAAAATGTTTGTTTCCGGTTTCCCAAGTCAGCTGATATCCATGAACGGCATTTTGTTTAAAAAAGTGGTCCTCAAGCCTTTTACACCAAATACCATCTAAAAAAGTATTTGAATCTTCTCATATCACAATACTGTAATTATTATATATGTAGGCTACCGAGATGTTTTGAAACACTCTAAATATGCAGAGTTGCGATATAAGCTACATGTCTATACTGTATATCTGTGCGTGTGTGTGTATATATATATATATATATATATATATATATATATACACACACACATATACAAGATGCACATACACACATTCAACATCGCTACATTCAATAAAATAAAAATACGAAAACAATGATTCCGTTAAAATGGACAAAAAAAGTTGTCCATGAATCATTCTCAAATTTTAAATTGTTGTCTTTCAAAGTTCGATACAGCTTAACTGTACTAAATCAATGTACTGGACTTAAAAAATATTTTAAACCTATATAACATACATACATATTTCGAACGTTTTCTTGAATGATTCCTTGCATACCACAAGAGGGAGCCCACGTACCACTAAGTAGAGAATCACCGGCTTCAAACACGTTTGCTCTCGTCGAGACTAAATGTTCCACATAGACTACTTTTACATACACTTTTACACCACATATACTTTTCCATTCCGTGCAAAAACCTTACCGGCAAGAACGATGTTTTTTTTTTTCTGAACTTTAGCGTCATCGTTTGACATTTACTGATCTCGCAACTTTTGTTTTAATTGAGCACGTTCGACAGTTCTGTTCTTCAGTTGAAAGGGCGATGACAATTTGCTTCTAAAATTGTATTTACTCGTTAACAACTTTATGTATTTATTTTTGTCTTTATTAGTTCTGTCAGTGGTTGAAGTCACTGATCCGAGACCAACGGAACGCGGCTGTGGCAGGTCTGCTCGGCCTCCTCTCCCTGGCCTGCCTGGGCGTGTCCTCCGGGACAGCCCTGCCCGCTGTCTTCATCCCCTTCACGTTGTGGATGGCCAGCTGAATCCACCTGCCATTATTTAGTGAGTTTTTTTGTCTGAACATTTTTGTATTGCGGGATGTCACGGCATTGTAATGCTTTCGACTCATGTAAATAAACAATTCATTTGGAAAGGCCCCGTGCTGTTTTTCATTTTTGTGCGAGAGTCTTGTCAGTATTTTGAGGGTGTCTGACAAGATTGCGCGCCAGACTATTTCTGTCATCTAAGAACATTTTTGTACAGTCGAACCTCGTAACAACGGACCTCGAGGGACATAAAGAAATCTGTACGTTGTCACGGTAGCTCGTTGTAACTGTTTCCAATAAAATGGCCACCAACTACGATGTATAATACAGTGTTAACATTCATAAATGTAAAAACATGAACTTGTGATACAGTATAAACATGTCAATTAAGGTATCAAGAAAAAATGATTTTATAGGACATGAAACAAGCAACCGTAGCGGTCCTACTTCAAGTGAAAAGTGCCTTCTCGAGTTCAGGATAGGCCGCGCCCCGAAGCCGTTTGTGTGTGAGAGCCTTCTCGCAAGAGAAATTTTCATTGGTGTGTCTCAGTGTCGGACAGTTTTTTGTTTGGGTGTTTCAATAGTGCGTGTGAGCAAAAACAAACAAAAAATAACTTTGGGACAGCCTTTCTTTAGTGTTTGTAATGAAAAAAAAATCGAGAGTGTCGAGAGAGAGCCTTTCACTAGTGCAGGGGTTGGCAACCCAAAATGTTGAAAAAGCCATATTGGACTCCCGTCCTGCTAATTGTGTGTCGCAGGCTATGACGCAAATCCTCGTTGACAGAAATTTTGACATTTAATATTTATTCTACACATTTTTGAAGCATTGGAAAACGTTAAGAATGTTTGTGTCATGTTTATCCTCCTACATAAACCATATTAAAACAAAAAATATATTTCCCTCCCCCATCTTTTTCCATTTTCAAACATTTTTGAAAAAGCTCCAGGGAGCCTCTAGGGCGGCGCTAAAGGGCCCCCGCGGGTTGTCGACCCCGCACTAGGGTGTGAGTGCAAACGGCTTGAGTTGGTTATATGTGGGAGTCTCACGAGTGTCTGCGAGCAATAAAAAAAAATCTCATGAGCATGAGAAAACCTTTCAGTAGTGTGTGAGTGCAAAGATTTTCTGTATGTTGTGAGATGGCGTTTCACGAGAAAATGTTCTGTCATGTGAGATCAATTTACTGTGTGTGTGTGTGTGTGTGTGTGCGTGTGTGTGCGCGAAACAAATGGAGTGGTGGAGCGTGAGAGAGCATTTCAATGAGGGGCGTGCGTGCGCATTGTGACCTCGGCGGCCCCTTGTAATGCTGCAGGTGTGTTCCGAGCAAACGAGTCGACGGAGGTGGGGGATTGATGGTAATTGTTGTCATGGTTACCAACGTATTGTTACTGACAGTGTTCGTCATTGTTGCACTGGGAGTTGATTTTCTGGCCCGCCGTCTCTCGGGATGCTCCCGTGTCCAGAATGTTCCTTACGATTCGACCTTGGAACCTGCTGCCATTTCCTCGGTTCCGGCTGTCAGGTTGACCTTTGGCGAGGATGCCCTCGTGTGATTGGCCGCTGATCTCCTCCCTCCTCGTCCCTCCTCCTCCCTTTTGTCTTGGGCTGAGCGAGTGTGTTGTCGGCCTTGACGAGGACAGGCGGCTGCCAGTCAATGGCAGCGCCTTCATGTGCGATGGAGGCGGAACAGTGGGATGAAGCGGTTAGCGCATCTGCCTCGCAGTTCTGGGTTCAAATCCCGTTTTCTCTGGCTTTCTCCCAACAGGCATACTGAGCACTCTTAACTTGTGTATTGGTGAGAACGTGAGTGTTCGTAGTTGGTCTATAAAGTGCCCTCCCAAAATGTTCTGACAGCAAGATTAATTCCATTCCTCTTGTTGTACACTGCAGACATTTGGGCTTCAGATCAAAAGATGAATATCACACAAAAGTTCCAATCATCGTGCCCTACAATTGGCTGGCAACCAGTTCGGGGTGTACCGCGCCTAATGCCCAAAGACAGCTGGGATAGGCTCCAGCATGCCCCGCAACCCTTGTGAGGACTAGCGGATCAGAAAATGGATGAATGGAAGGAAGTTCCAATAAATTCCATCTTTTCCTTCCCGGGATTTACATCTAAATGTGTTCAACAACTCAAAACAGAGCACCTCTTTTTTGAAGCCACTCCCTGTGCCAGTGAGCAAATGTATTGGATCGGGCATTATCAAATTAATTTAAAGTGATGTAACTCATGATGGTTGCAGCAGAATAAATTCTGAAGACTACAAAGCCATTTTGTCTGGAAATTTCCATTAAAAAAAAAAAAAAATACATCCAAACTAATCAAGGGAAACTTCACCACCTAACAAAGTGAGCATAAGTGGAAAGTCTGCGACTGGCCATGTCAGTCAGTCACTAGACCTTAACCGAATAGAGCATTCATTTCACCTCCCGAAGAGGAGACAGAATGGAGAAACCCACAAAAACAAACAAGAACTGAAGGAGGCTGCGGTAAAGGCCTGGAAAAGCATTTCAAACGAAGAACGCAACAATCTGGTGAAGTCGAGGGCTCGCAGGCTTGATGCAGTCGCTGCAAGTAAGGGTTATGCCACCAAATGTTATTCACTGTAAGTGAATTTAATCATGTCTGCTCCAATACTTTTGCTCACTCGAAAAGTAGGTGGCTTCTGCCAAAAGGTGCTCGGTCCAGAGTTGTTACACACATCTTGATGTAAATAGCATGGAATAAAAGCTGGAATCCCAAACTTTTCTCTGATACTTAGCTTACGATCGGAAAAGCCACACGTCAACCAAAACGGAGGAATTGCACCTTGCCGTTCCGAGACTTTTGGAGGGGAATGTATGTATGTGCAAGCGTGATAGAAAATGGCTGGCTGGATGGTTTTCACGCAAATTAACATCCTCTTCCACCTCCCCCCTCTTGGCCTCCTTTGCGACTTTGCTCCCCTCCCCCAAGTTGCGTTCCCTTGGCGTCGGCCTTGATGCGGCGCCACCTTGACGTGACGTCAGCGCTGACATCAGGAGCCAGCATGCGCTCCTTCACACACCTCCTCTGCACGGTGCGGAGAAGAGAAAGCATGTGTGCGGTTGCGGCGGGGAAGAGGAGGGGACAATCTCATGAGACCATCATAATAGTCTATTTTTGTTTTTCCGCTGGCAACAGACGACACCAGTGAGCTGCCCGGTTACCAACCTTCGTGTTGCTAGCGCTGGGGAGGGCAAACTTTCGCGTGTGTTTGATTTTTGAAAATAGACACGTGAGCCAAGTCATTTGTAGACTGATTAGGTAATAAAAAAAAATAAAAAAAAATGCAGTCTCCTTTTTAAAATAATGAATTGAATTGTAATTAAGTAAGCAATTCTATCGTCAATTTTTTTGGGTTGGTATAATTCCACTTGTTTATTTAATTAATTCTTTATTTTCCAATTCACAATAAATCCCATAACGAATTACATAATGCGATAAATGAATATAAAGTGAATGAATACAATTATAAATGCAGTGTAATCTATAAGTAAGCAATTTTACAGAAAAAAAATGCTCAATGAAACCGGTTTTAAAAAACAAAACTAAAGGTAATGAAATGAGGAATATATGACTTATTTAAGATCAATTATCTGCCAATAGGGCAGGAAAATTTAATTTTCTTTGGCGGCCCACCACACATCAATCATTGTGACTGAACACCACTATGTAGCTGTGGCTGAAAAAGCAAGGCGTGGAGAGTCTCTGTCGGCAAAATGTGGAGCCTCAAAATGTAGAACAGCAGCTAGCGCTCGCAGTTTTTTTCACCGCAGTGGTTTGGTACAAGTGCAACGGTCAGTCGCCAGATGTACAGGCTGAGGTGCAGCAGTATTTTTTCACAAATCCAGTCCTGTCCAGCCAGATAACTCCTTGTGCATATTTTTCCTTGAACTGAGATCTTCAATCTGGGTTGTATTTTAGTTTTTACAGTGCAGCCTTGGCAATACGCTAATGTAATGCACTTCCATTTTGCAGCAAGCGTCGTCACTGAAATCCTCCACTCCAACGAGGAGGTGATGGTGAACTTAGCTGCGTTTTTTTTCATTGCTGGTTGACCGGCAGCATCAAACAGGTGTGTTTAAATGTCGAAGAAGAATGTTAGATAAGATGAGGAAAAACTTTAAACTTCTCCTCCTGGTTGACTGCAATCAGTAAACAGTGCGCGCCTCTGTGGAGGCCAAGCTAGTACCTCGGCAATGCGCCATTCCCTAAAATGGTCACGCTAGCAAAATGGCAGATGTCAGCGGTGTCCGCAAGTTTTCCTCCTCGAGCTGCATACCGAAAAATGTAACAGTACATTGTGTCCGCTGATCTTGCCGCATGAAAAAAAAAATATTAAAAATTCCTGAGGAAATGAAAATGTCATTAATTTAGGTACATGTTAAATATCGCAGCAATCACGATATCGCAATATTCAACAACATTGCAAAACGCGTATCACTGCATCGGTATCAAGTCTGATCCAGGCCAAAATGACTTGATCTCTATAGGATTGTTGTTGTTGTTGTTGTTGTTTTTTTTTCCTGAATCAAAACCAGTCCGATCAACCCAAACTATATCTCGTATCCTCAACTTCACTTGGCGTGACATGCCATTGCACAGATGAGCTGTTTGTTGCCATGGTTGCCGCGTGCCTGTGTTTTCGTCACGTGAGCAGTTGCTGCACAGTGAATGTGATTGTGATTTCTTTTTTTTAAACGTCACCATCAAGCAAATTACTTATATATATATATATATATATATATATATTTTTTTTCCTGAATCAAAACCAGTCCGATCAACCCAAACTATATCTCGTATCCTCAACTTCACTTGGCGTGACATGCCATTGCACAGATGAGCTGTTTGTTGCCATGGTTGCCGCGTGCCTGTGTTTTCGTCACGTGAGCAGTTGCTGCACAGTGAATGTGATTGTGATTTCTTTTTTTTAAACGTCACCATCAAGCAAATTACTTATATATATATATATATA